CGGTTAACCGGGGGACTCGGTTCGGTTACAAATACCTCAAATGAAGTATTTGCTCGGTTCGGTTCGGTTACGGTTTTTAAGATTTTTTTACCCCGGTTAACCGAACCGAACCGTATATTATATTAAAATTTATAAAATATATATTATATTATATATTATATATTATAAAATATATATTTTATTAAAATATATATTATATTATATATTATATTTTATAAAATATATATTTTATTAAAATATATATTATATATTATATTATATATTATATATTATATATTATATTTATATTAATGTTTTCGGTTCGGTTCGGTTCGGTTCGGTTTATTATTTGCGAACAAACAGATTTGTGTTAGGTTCGCTCGGTTCGGTTCGGTTCGGTTAATTCGCGAATAGTAGGATTTTTTTCGGTTAACCGAAAATTCGGTTAACCGAGATTTTCGGTTCGGTTTCGGTTAGCGAGTTCGAATATTTGCTCGGTTCGGTTCGGTTAGCAAATACCTCAAAAAGTTCGGTTAACCGAACCGTGCCCACCCCTAGTTCTAACCAGGTGCTTTTCAAAATTTGCATCTCTGCAGAATATAACTAGCCAAAAAATATTGAAAGGAAACGAGAAAAGTCAACCAGATACTAATTTCACCAATGACCAATGAGCCCAGAAATAGCCAGGTTCAGACTGCTTTCAACTTTCAAGTAATAAAGAAATACAAATTTGAAATCCCAATTCCCATAGCAATAACAATGAAGAATTAGTATATACAAGCTTTAGTGTAATCAAGTAACTGTTTCATCAATACACAACAAGTAGTACTCACAAAGACTGTACCTTTGTCTATTACAGCTTCAAACAACTATGACCCTACCAGTAAACAAATGCTAAAAAATGAAAGCAAAATCAACTGGTAACATCCCTAACCCAACAGTAATCAAGCTTCTTAACTAGATACATAATACATGGGCGTAAAGATAAATAATCTGAACACAAAATATAATTATGTAACAAAAGAACAACTTCTATACAAAATCACTTAACTAGAACACAACAAAATCTCCCACAGTACAATTTGATTAGAACTAGTGACGGTTAAGTGATGGGTAAAAAACTATAATATTGCATAATGTCTACTTTACCATTTCAAGACGATTCACAGCAAGCTCATTTTCAAACAAGAAAAGGATCCCACCATCTTTTCAAACAAGAAAAGAGTCCCAAAAATTCTTGCATAATGTCTACAAATGCCTGAGCAGAAAACAAAAGTGCTAATGTTCGAATACTTCCTATTACAGGCAAAAACTGAAATTTCATATCACAAACTGAAATTACCTCTTGAAATTACATATTCACCTAAAAAAAATCATGTTCCCTATCAAACTTAAATCACAGAATTTTAGCAGGTAAGAGTGTAAGACGTGGAAACTTACATCCCTCGGAGCTATGACCGTGAGCCTATGACGTTCATCTCGCACCAATGGGCGATGGCGACTGGAATGGCGACGGACAGATGGATACGGGAGAGTGAAGAGTGGCGACGGGTCGATGGAGACCGCAATGGGCAACGGACGAGGGAGATGGCGATAAGCGATGGGGCGATGTCGATGGTGATGGTGATGAGAGATGGACTATGGTGATGGTAATGGCGATTGCGGCGGGCAGCGGGCTAGGGTTTTTAGGGGTAGAGAACGGGAGAAGAATGAAGAAGGAAATGAAATGTAAATTATTTAGTTTTTGGAAGTATAAATATGATAAGTGGAATGAAATAATAAAATGACCAAATGCACCCTAAAGTATATACAATGTAATTGGACCTCTAAGGGCTATTATGTAAATTTACATATATAACGAGCTGCTCGTCGAGCAGCTCGCGACTATGAAAATAGGGCTCGAGATCGGCTCGCGAACGGACTCGAACTGCTCGAGCTCGACTCGAGCTCGAGTTTGACCGAGCTCGAGTCGAGTTTTGACTCGAGCGCTCGCGAGCCGCTCGCGAGCAACTCGGTTCGTTTGCAGCCCTAATTCCGACCGATCCACCAAGCTCACTGCAACCGAGTTGATTAGCCGGCTATATCATCATGATTCTCCAAACTAAGAGCCATGATCACACTAGAACTTCTATTGAATGTTATGTTTTGTATTAACATATACAAATATTTTTTCAAATATCAATCTAGATACTTGTCAATAGGCTCGTGCAGTTGTGCACCTATACGTTGATGGAAGATTGAACATAGTTTGATATGTAACAAAACAAATTTGTTTTTCATTCCTTGAACAATAGATGGGTTCGATTGGATTATAATCAATATAAATAAAATTGGATTATTGCATAAATTAGTGACATAAGTTCAACTTCTGGTTGGATCACATTACTGCTCATTGGGCCTGGGCTAACTCCGCCTAAGCCCATTTCAAATCTCTCAAATATTGGGGTTTCGACTTTCGACATTCTGCAGACCAGGTAAAAAAAAAAAAAAAAATATTATGAAATTCACAGACTCGCCGGTGATTGAGCTGTCCGTGCTCGACACGCGCCTCTCAATCCAGCAGGACAATGGCTCGATGCACGTCGGCACCTCCGTCTGGCCCTGCTCCTTGGTCCTCGCGAAGTTTGCCGAACGCTGGCACCCCTTGAAATGCGCCGCCGGCGACAACCCCTACGCCGGTCTCCTGAACTTCGCCGACAAGCGAGGGGTGGAGCTCGGTGCCGGCTGCGGGGCCGCCTCCATGAGTCTCTACGTGCTCGGACTCCACGACATCGTCCTGACCGACATAGCCCCCGTCATGCCTGCTCTGAAGCACAACCTGAAGCGCAACAAACCGGCGCTCAAGAAAACCCTAAAGACCGCGCAGCTCTACTGGGGGAACGGGGAGCAGACGCGGTCGCTCAAACCGCCGTTCGATTTCGTGATCGCGGCGGACGTGGTCTATTTGGAGGAGACGGTGGCGCCGCTGATCAGGGCAATGGAAGCGCTGGTGGCGGACGACGGCGTCGTGTTGCTCGGGTACCAGCTGAGGTCGCCGGAGGCCCACGAGCTGTTCTGGGAAATGTCCGTGAGCGTGTTCGATGTCGAAAAAATCCCGCACGAGCATCTGCATCCCGAGTACGCATACGAGGAGACCGATGTTTATATTTTCAGGAAGAAGAAAAGGGAGCAGAGTTGATAAAAACCGAAACTTTGGGTGAGATATCTTTTTCCTTACTAGTACAAGAACATTGATGATGGCACTATTGTATTAGCACTACTCGAATATGATATTGTTCCAGGTTGTGGCTTGATTTATACGAGGTTTTTGCTCATCGATTTTTTGTTTTGGGTAAAGCTGCTGAAAAAATTTGTAACTCGAAACAACTAGGAAGAAAAATGGAACTGAATTTCGAAATTTCGTGTTTGTATATTATCGAACCATCAGAAGTGTTTTTACCTTGAAATGATGATATTGATATTCTGTGACAAGGTTAAAGCCTCGAACTTGTTAGTTACTTGAGGTGAAAATATCTTTCAGATATATAGTAGGGCTACCATACACGGGGAAAATATCGGAGTTAATTTTTGTTATCTCCATGGTCATTTTATGCCGCGCACATAAACTCTTCCATGCTAATTCGACGTAACAGCATATCTAGCATGGCTTGTTGTGTGTTTCCTTAAATCCGTATTTGCCTGTATACAAGCAATATTCTGCATTTACCTGTACAAGACAATTGAATAAAGTGAATCGAGACTAAGAGAACGGACTGTGTTTGGATTCGTGTAGAATATGTGGATGCCTTTACTGCCTCAAAATACCCAATTCATAAATCACAATATATAATAGCAAGCTAAGTGAAATGTCAAGAACTTTCTAGAATCTTGCATTTCCCTTATGTGCTGTACCTCTTCAGTTGCATGGAGTTAATTAAGGGAGTGATGAGAGTTTAAATTACTACCGTGGATAAAGGAAAGATTTTTGTGTCTTGTTAACTTTATGTAGCTATACATGTGTGTTTAATTCTCCTTGGGATTGAGACTCGGGATTTTGGATTGGTCATTGCATACGTTAGTTACTTCTTTTTTATCCTTCGGTTCTTACTGTCACTGGAGGGGACTTGTTCTATTGAAAGAGAGAGGATAGTGAAATGAGCAGTGAGTCACGCTTGTTGATCGTGCCTTTTGAATAATATTCAAGTTTGAGACATGATCTTTAGTATACGTAAATGACAGTGTGCAGAACTCTCGACTCCCTATCTGGTAAGTAATTACATCCAACTTATTAAGTTAGACAGATATATCTGATTACATTGAATAGAACTTACAGTTGAACTCTGAACTGAAAAGGGACATCAAAAAAGATCTTCAGGCCTCAGAGATTTTATGACCCGATTGTCTCGCATTCATTAATTAATTTTTCTTAGTTGGGCGTTAAAAGATCAAAATCCTGGTCTTGATTTGATAGGTATTGGCCGGTGTCTTAGGGTCCCGTTTCACTAATTGAGGGTTGGCAAACCGAAGATGAAACATTTAAGGCACCAATAAACAACAGTTTGATGTTGAGATACCAACAGCAACATCTGATTAACTTTTCAAACTTTGGGCACTTGTTTGAAGGGATTGGAAAGACTGATGTTGAGCATTCAGTTTACAGTTTTTGTTCTGTAACAGATTTTCATTTTGCTAATTGGAAGCCATTGACAACAAAGTATCCATAGTTTGAAGAAAAAAGTGAGGAAAATAATCCTCCGCATGAACTGATTTTTCATATAACATCGATCTTTATGTTTGGCAGATGTTGTCAAAAACAAATTGTGGTGAATGTATTTACACAGCGTGCGATTTATGTAAGAGATTCTATTCAAGCTTAATGCATGTTCGGAGCAGTAGGTAGGGTTGCAACTAATCGACTCGCACGAGAATTTGTGATATTTTAGGAAATGGAATTCCAGACAGGTGAACAAATATTGTAATCTAAAAGTAATTTCATCAATACAGATGTAATGTAAGTACAATGTTGCAGGCTCTAACCTTTATCAAGGCAAAAGTTTACCGTTATCCTTTTCCTTTACGCTATTATTAGACATGCCAGCACCCGATTCATACAGCATAGCAACAACCCGACGCATGGAGGGGCGACTGGTCGGGTGTTTACTGACACAGACGAGCCCAATATCAAGAACCTTGCAAATGTGTTCGTTGTAACTCGAATCTAATTCTGGGTCGATCACACGATCAAGCCCATCCCGGCCCAAGGTCGTATAGACCCAAGTTGCCAAACCTTTGTCCCCAAATTCTGGGTCTGTCGGCAGTTTTCGTGTCACGAGCTCCAGAATAACTATACCAAAGCTGTATATGTCACTCTTTTCGTTCACACGCATCGTGTATGCATATTCTGTATATAAATTTATCAAAAAACATATTATGTTAGCTCGATCCAGAATGTAGATTATGTAGCTGAAAATTTGTATAGAACTTCGAAAGATCACCTGGTGCAATGTAGCCACACGAACCGGCAATGACAGACATTGACTCCACACGATTCTCGATTTCCTTAACAACCTTAGCAACCCCAAAATCTGAGATTTTTGCCCCAAAGTCCTCGTCCAGTAGCAGATTATTTGACTTCACGTCCCTATGCACGATCGGCGGATCACAATCGTGGTGCAAGTACGAGAGCCCCTCGGCAGCACCCAAAACTATACTAAACCTCGTGGGCCAATCCAAAAGCCTACTCTTGTTGCCATGCAGCAAGTCTCTTAAGCTCCCGTTCGGCATGTACTCGTACACCAAGAGCTTGCAGTCTCCCGCATCACAACAGGACCATAATTTCACGATATTCTTGTGTCTGATTTTCCCCAATGTGTCTACTTCAACTTCAAACTCGCTAGGGAAGGGGTCGTTTTCGTCATTTTTCAACGTATCGTGCAGTTTTTTCACGGCGACGGCCTCTCCATTGCTCAGAATGACCTTGTAGACTTTACCCGAGGCTCCTCGGCCAATCACGTTTGTCTCCTTGAGGCCGCTGCTAATTTCGAGCTCGCTAAACCCGAGCTTATGGAAAGAGGTCCACTTAGTTATTGTGGCAACTCCTTCGGCCGTTTGCTTCAGTTTCCTGTACCTCAGCAGAAACCAAACAATCCCCACAAGGAAAACGAGGCCCGTTGTGATGAAAATGGACTTCAGCACCCACGAAAAAACCCGATTTGCTTTCTCCTCGTTGCGATTGCACGAGTTGGAATTATAAAAGCACAGCCCGGGATTTTCGAGAAAGCTGTCCCGATAAGCTCCGTTTGAGAAGAGAGGAGGCAGTTCCCCTGAAAGCATATTTCGCGACAAGTTTAGTTTGTTGAGCTTCAGATTCTGCAACGAGACAGGAATTTCACCCGAAAAGTTGTTGTTAGAAAGATCGAGGTAGTTGAGCACTGGAAGGCCCCCAAGCTCGTCTGGTATATGGCCCGACAAGTGATTATTAGCCAAATTGAGCTCGTTGAGCAGCTTCAGAGACTTTATTCCTGTAGGAATCCCACCCGAAAAATTGTTACTGCTAAGATCGAGCCTCCCGAGCTGCCTTAAATTCAGAATGCTGCTCGGGATTTCACCACTAAGCGAGTTACCATCCGCAGCAAAGTTGATCAAAGCATCTAATAACTCGATTTCGCTCGGTATGCTTCCTGAGAATCTATTATTTGAAACTGCCAAGATGGATAAGTTTTTCGCGCCGCGTATCGAGCTCGGGATATTTCCAGAAAAGGCATTTCCCGATAGCTCGAGAAAGTAAACCCGTGGCAGGCCCCAGAACTGAGGTGGAACTTCCCCCTGTAGCCTGTTGTCCCTCAACCGTACACGCAGCAAACTCCGGCATTTTCCGAGACTTTCTGGAATAGTCCCCTTAAACGCATTAACCATCAGAATTAAATTCTCCAAGGCTCCATTCAAGCACAAAAACTCGGGAATTTCACCCGAGAGATTATTCGACGACACGTCCAGCACCTGCAGGGGCGAATTCTTGCCGAGATCACTCGGCAAGTTACCCCACAGCCCGTTTTTGAACAGATTGAGGTCGTTCAAATTAGGCGAGCTGGCAATGCTATCGGGAATTATCCCTTCGAGTCGGTTATCGTTCAAGATGAGTGACTCGAGGGGCAATTTGCACAGCTCGTCCGGTATAACACCGGTTAACTCGTTCATGGATGCATCGAATCTTCTCAACATGGTCAGATTAGACCACCCGGACGGCAGATTCCCGGTGAATGAGTTGTTGAACAGTTCAATCTGCTCGATCCGCGTCATGCCCATTATTATCTTGCCCGGTATGGGCCCGCTGAGCCTGTTTACGGCCAAGTCGAGATTCCGAAGCTGAGTCAACCGGGCAAGGCTCCCGGGGATGGGGCCCACGAGCTGGCAGTAGGTGAGCCACAGGTTTTCCAGGTTGGTCAGGTTGCCGAGCTCGTCGGGTATGGGGCCCGGTGAGAATGGGTTGTAAGCCAGCTGAAGATCCTTTAGGGTCGTGATGTTGCCGAGGGCTGCCGGGATGGTGCTGTTCAGTAGGTTGTCGATGAGTATGAGAGATTCGAGTCGTTCAAACCGACCAAAATATGCTGGGATATCGCCATAGAAGTTGTTTGCCAATAGATTAAGGTACCTGGAACAATAACAGAGCACCTATTTACCACCATTGATATTTATCTGAGTAAAAGCTCGTCTAATTTAAACCGATTGGGAGCCATTGATGCAAGAAAGATCTTTTCTTTAGGCATTAAGCTTACTGTCATAATTGGTAAAAGAAGTATGAGCCCAGATTAGGCTTTCTTTTTTTCTCGGAAAAAAAAAAGGTATGGTATATCATCTGCTTTATTCACTTGAGTCGTCATAAATGATGTACCAAAAGATTGGTCTTCCCATTAATGGCGCTAAATAATTGCACTGCTTCATAAGTAAACACAGCAGAGCCACAACAAAGAACCCCACAAAGGGATATTTCATGACTGCCCACTTTACACAAACAGAAACAAAACAGAAATAAGCCACTGGTAAAATTCATCATTCGTTCTCGAACTTTCCTAGTTCCCAAGGCCCACGAATTATTAAAAAAAAAGCTCGACTCTACTACCTCAGGAAGTGAAGGTCGGCGAGGGTCGGCGGGAGGGAGCCGTGGATGAGGTTTTGGGAGAGATCGAGGTGGACGAGGCTTCGGCAGCCGGAGATAGAGAGGGGGAGAGAGCCGTTGATGTAGTTGTCGGCGAGGGAGAGGTTGGAGAGAAAGGGCAGGCGGCAGAGGGCGAGTGGGAAGGGCCCGGCGAGGGAGGCGCCGGGGAGAGAGACCGACACGACGCGGCCGAGGCCGTCGCAGCCGACCCCGAACCAGCTGCAGGGGGGACCGGCGGCGGCGGACCAGCCGGCAAGGGCGCCGTTCGGGTCGAAGAGGGAGCGCCTGACCTCCTGGAGGACGAGGCCGTCCTGGGTCAGAGCCAGAGAGCGGCGGGTCTGGTGGAGGACGGTCAGCGCACATAGATAAGTGAGCAGAAGAAGAACGGAGGTGAATTTCCGTTGCATGGCTGCTGTTTCTACTACTGCGTGCAGTGTGTGTGTGTGTGAAGAAAATGAGATGACGCTTCAAATGTTTTGTGCAGTGTGTGTGGGAAGTGTCAAGTGTGTGTGTGTGTGTGTGTGTGTGTGTGTGAATTTAAAGGACAAAAAATGGGGGATGTGTGTTGTGCGTGTTTTCTGTTGTGAGGCCAAGTAAGCTGGTTGATCCCTAATAAATTTTTAAATAAAGATAAATACTTTATATTATGAAATTATAGATATTTTGCTAGGATGTCTTTAGTTTAGGTCAGGCGATACATTTTTATCTATCTACGTACATTCACACTCAAATATAAAAAAAATAAATAAATAAATAAATAAAAAAAATCTATTATTTTTAGTATATGATAAATATATATTTTTTATATATGCGAAATTGTTAACCGTCAGTTAATCTAAGAGTAGCCGTAATTCTACGGTCTCGTTACGGAATCATTGCGTCGAGTTTTGTAACCGTTAGATCAACTATCCACGACGGTTATATGATGATCTAACAATTACAAATCCCGACGTAATGGTTCGCCTAAGGAACTGTAGTACTTTCCAGCATTTATATATTATGAAATATAGCAGTTGCTCATTGTTTTAGTTTTTGTACTTTCCAATGAAGGGGTTGTAAGGAAAATGTGAAGTTGGTAAAAGGAAGAGGAATTTGAGGGGGGTTATGGGGTTTTTGGCGTGAGCAAATAAAAAATTGAAAATTTTCGCAGCGTGTGGGGTCCAGAGAGGGGTAAGATTGGAAATTGATATGGGGGTGGATCTGATGTGGTCTCCGTTTTGGGGGTAATTTGGAGCTCTTTTTGAAGTTTCAGTTTTTTCAACTAATTATACGATTTACTTATTAGTTATTACACATTGGATTTGGATCATGTAATTTTATCGGGGACAAAGAACAGCTTTGTTAGTGGTATTTTGATCCAAACCTTAAATTGAATTTTTTTAGTTAACTATGGTTAATTTAAAAAAAGTACTATAGTTATTTGTTAGTGGTATTTTGAGAGTATATTAAAATAATATTTAAAATAATATAATTAAAGTTGATTTGATGTAAAAGTATGAAAAAAATAATATGAAGTGATGGTGATGAAAAGTGATTTAAGGTTGATATGATTGGTAAAAATGATTGATTGTTATTATTTAATAATTAATTGTTATTATATAATTATATTGATGATATTGATTATAGTAAAGTTAAGTTAAAATTGAGTATGAATTAATTTGGTTTGGATAACACACATCAAGATATAATTACATTTTTTCTTTTAAAATAAATGTAATTATATAGCATAGTTGTTCAACATTAAATAATATTTTTATAATGTACTAAGATATTAAACTTTCTTTCCTCGTTTCCTCCCTCAAATTTTATTAAACATCTTTTTCTTTTCATTTCTTCACTTGTACAAAAGAAGCCGATGAACTTTATTGGCAATTCTCTTTTAACATTTGTTTTCTTCCTCATTTGTTCACCCAAATACTAAACACCTTTTTCTTCTTCATTTGTTCACTCAAACTTGTACAAAAGAAGTAGATGAAGTTGATTGGCAAGATAGCCTGTCATTTATAATCATCCCAGGAACATTGTACAAATAATACCCTACCACCTTCTCATTAGGTTCTAGATTCCTTAAAATATTCTTAATGTCTACACTATTATCTACAATAATCCAAACCCTAGTACAATAGTATAATTATTATCAGAATATTCTACATTTCTTAACTTAGTTCTTCACTCACCTAACCCCTCCCATACATTATAGATAGAACCCCTCCCATAAGGTTCTTGTAACTTTTACTCTCCTTAGGATATATAACAGTTCATCATGGACACATGTCATTCTATTGCTAAAATGAAAATATTTTTCAAAACCTCATTTAACACACATTAATAAATTAATGAATGAATTAATTAAAAAAACACCTCTCTCTTTCATCACCACTCTTTTCCCCTCTCTTTGACCACCTTTAATCTCTCCAAAACAAATAACGGACATGCATGCATCCACCCATATTTCTTACCCAACAAAAAAATAAAAAA